TATTTGCTATATTGTTGTTGTGTTATGCTTACAAGAGATAATGATCTCCTTTTATAAGGAGAATACAAAAGTAGTAACATACATGAATTTACTACAAGATTATGTTACTTGTGGTATATGTTACATGATTGACATCCATCAATGGTTTCATAACAAAAAGCAACACTATTAATCTTTTTTTGGACGTTGAAATATAAATGTGTTTTGCCATACTCCATTGGCACTGTGAAGACACTTCTTCTCATAGTTCTTGCCAACTATGGTTGATTCCTAACACTTTTATTTTTTATTTTTTTAAGAGTCTTACTAACACTTTTTGTCCTTTCCGACTATTTCAAATATATGAATTGTAACAATTTTGTTTGAACTCTCCTTTAAACACAAATTTGAGTTTCCATGAAGAAAATGTTTTGTGTTTCCTTTTTTTTGGGTCACAACTAGAACTTCATTAGCTTAGCAAGCATCAAACCCTATTACAAGAGTAGGAATTACAACCAAGTTAATGGAAAATACACAAAGACAAGACAAGAAATGCCAAAAGAACCACCAAACGATGGTTAAATGAGAGATAAATTGTCGATACAAATCACAAAGACAAGTCATAAGAAATCGATCAACTAGATCGATGTCATGAGCTTGAATGACCGCATCCAATGCAACTCGGAGAGTTACACACACTGCTTCAAAGGCAGAGAAGACCATCTGTCGGGAGGACGATCCTTGCAATACCGACGACGGTTGAACAACCAAATCACTCAACAAAGGAGATGATATTGGTAAGAGAAGTTGCTCCATCAAGGAGTTGAACAAAACCATATTCACCGGCAGAGACATAGCGCTAATGCCGGAAGATAAATGGCCTAAGAGTGAGGCGAAGGGGCTTTGATCGTGAATCATTCCTAACTCCAGCATCTTCCATCCTACAAAAGAGGTTTTTGATAACACATAACTCTCCACAAAGGAGCACATATGGTAATGATTACCCAATACAACATTAGACATATGGAGAATGGGGACTTTGTACACCAAACCGTTGGTGAAAGAAACCTCAAAGAAAGGTACTCTTCTAAGAAAAATAATCTTAAAGTCCGTAATGTAGCTTGGTATGAATTTTTCAGTAACATCCTCACACGGAGGTAATAGACGGCTAAGGAAAAGCCTAAGACCCTCATACTGAGGTAAATGGAACCTCCAATAGAGGTTAGTAATACCTAAACAAAGGTAGTTTTTGAGCACATATTGATCAAGACAAGGGATCTCACCAAGGATACCTTCCAAGGGCGTGTCCATACGACGAATGAAGCAAATCTGGAAACTACACTTAACCGAGGAGAAGAAGAACAAGGATGCAAACAGTCTGACTCCAGAGGACATGACAACCGAATCAGCAAAGCTAGAGGTTGTCGAACCTGAAAAAGGAGCAGAGGTAGCAGCTACGTGGAGGATGGATTGAGAAGAGTCTGGAGGGTCGGGTGGGTCTGGAGGATCGGGAGGAGAGATTACTGTGAGCAGAGCAAACAGAGAAGCAAAAGGCGGTGGATATGGATCTGGATCTGGAGCGGGCGACGTCATAGAGAGAACGAAGCGACGGAGATCCGGGGAGGCGATGGCTTCGACGGAGAAGGATCTTCTCATGATAGAGTCACCGGTGGCGGAGATTGCAAGGCGGAGATCCATTGTTGACGAGCTCCAAGCGGTAGTCTCGGGCCTCGTGCCCGAGAGAGAAAACTAGGGCGACTTTTTTATTCTTGATTGTCTTAAAAAATAATGTTTTGTGTTTCCATAACACAATTTTAACCAAAGAAGTGTAAACTGAGGAAATGTAAACTATAGAAATAAGCGCCATGTTTTTGAGATCTAATAGCTGAAAAAACTATAGACATAGGCACACTTACTCAAGTAATGGATGAAAGAAATAAAGATTTAAAATTCATCAAAACAAATAAAACTATAGAATAATTTAAAATTTCCAAATTTAGCTTTTGCTGCGAATGGCTGCGGCTACAAAGATACATCATGGTCGCGCCACTGTCACAAAAAACTGAAAAAGGTCTAGCCAAATACCCAAGGGTTCTCTTTCACATGTAAGTTGAGTAATAATCGATAGTACTTACTGCAGTGAGCCACCAGAAAAAACATTGTCACATTGACTTTGTTGATCACTAAAGATGCAGCACACTCCAAGGCGATATAGCCACTTCTGATAAAACCAACATTTCTTTTAGAGTTTGGTTCAGTTGCAGTAGGATGCCTATTTGCATCGCTCAGATCAATAACAAACATTTTCAGCATATGATCCTTCCACCCCCAAATTTTCGGAGCTTGAACGCCTGCTTGCACAAGCCTATGAAAAGCATTCGGCCCAAGCCTATGACAAGAATAAGGCCACTTAGTAGTTCAAAGTTCTAAGCTTCAAAACAACACAAATTTCTCTAACAATGTTCAGAAGTGAGTGTGATCTGTCATATCATCATTCGCCGTATCTAACAGATTTCCACTATTACGAAACCATTGTTCATTTAATTTAAGACTTGAATGATAACATATATCATGGTCAGAATCAATAATTTATCATATGCATCAATGGCATTTTCTCACCAGCACGCACTCTTACTTTGGAAAAACGAAATCATATATATTATTTTGCAATCCATACCTAGGCTACCCTACTTTAGAGAAATCATGACTGATTTTTGCTTCTGTGTGACACGCTGCAGATAACCGATCATTGTGGAGGGTATAATCACACAGTTAGATTTGTTCTAGGGTTCAAGGAGGATTGGAGTCTTCTAAGTGCGAAATCATAGAACAAGATGTTGAAGTTAGGTTTTTATTGCTGTTTTGCTAAAGCTTTAAGATTACAAGAGTTTCTGTGTAGAGAATTGTGGATCCCCTTCCAAGAGGGTTTACATTAGTTTATATAGGCCTAGGTCAACGAAGTCACCCTAGAAAAATAAGGAAGTCTTCCTTATCTTCATGGTCGGCTGCGCGGAGTGGGCTGCGCCAACCTGCTCGGCCCATCTCGCCATGTCTTGGGCTTGGCTTGTCTCGTTATGGGCTCTGCTAGTGGACTTCATTTCGAGCCTGTCTTTCCCCCAAGTGTCATTTCCAGACTTGACGGGCTTAACGCCACAGCTTCACTGCTCCGATAGCATTGTCACGCCGCCGCCTCGTCCGGTAAGCCACCTAGTCGGATACTGGATAACCGGGTCAACCAGTCGTTTCCAATCTGGTTTCCATACTTAATCGTTTTTCCCGGTTTGATCTTACTGGGGTTGAATCCGACCCCTACAATCATGCGGAGATTGAGAAAATGGTTTTGAAGGTGGTCTCCGAGAATCCAAAGCAGCTTGAGCACGAAATCTTCTCCGCTCCATCTCTGTTGAACAAAATGAGACTCTCCATCCTTCTGCCACATCAGCAGAAGGATGATATTTGAAGAACAAAATGAGACTCTCCATCAATATTCTCTTAAACTTTATAAAACCATTAATAATTGATATTTGAAGAAAAACATTATAAAGAACAAACTTTCTACTTCTCACTTTATCTATCCAATCAATTACCAACTAAACTAAAATATATTTACATATTTTTTTTTGTAAAATTAGGGTCGCTTAAATACAAAAACAAAACATCAAGATTTTTAGGCTGCAAGCCCATGTTTTCTCTTGTTAAACACATGGTCGGCTGCATATGGTATCAAAATTGAGATATAGTAGATTATGTAACTTGCAATAAAAAATATGTGGTAGAAATACAAATAAAAATTCTTATCAATACAACTAACTAGTGAATCGTATGATGTAGAAGTTACAAGTATATGTTATTAAAAGGGTTAATTAGCTTAATTAGATAACTACCATGTGCATAATAAAATTTAGATATCTAGGAAAGAGAATAAAAAACTGGACTAATTTGCCTCTGCGAAATTTGACAAAAAAAATGGTAAAAAAAATCATATCAAATATTTATTGTCAATCATTTAAAATCTCTAAAAACTATAGAGATCTGGCATGCATTATAGTAGTCAACTATACAGATATATTATGGTAGTCAACTATACTAGTATATATTATATATAGTAGTCGACTATACTGTTATATACAAGACTCATTAGATCTGGTATATATTATAGTATATATATACATAGGAGTCAACTATATTGGATTATAGTAGTCGACTATACTGGTATATATTATATGAAGTTCATTAGATATTAGTGTTAAGTGTTATGCAGGTGAAGTTTCTATGCGTTGATAACACATTTCTTTATGTAAAACTATAGTTAACTACATAAGGCTTACAGCTAATTATCCATGTGTTAAGTATTGTTGACTATTGTTGGGTATAGTTAAATAAGTAGGTCTTATAGCTAACTATCCATGTGTTAAGTATAGTTGACTATTACTGGGTATTGTGTAGATATGGTTAACTATGTCGATCTCCAACGACGACTAGATTTGGATGGCGGTGAGAGAGAGCGCCTCGAAGCTCCTTGTCCTTGTCATTGATGAAACCACTACAGTCCCGATCCGCAGCCTTGAAACAAGCCACGATGTTCGGATCCGTACCAGGAGGAAGCGCTGACGGGACAAGAGACGCAAACGGGCTTCCAAAAGAACCTTGAGTATGAGGAGGAGGAGGAGCTCCGTAACCTCCATGTCCCGACTGCGGTCCGTAACCACCATAGTCAGAAGATCTAGACGGTGGATGAGCACCGTAACCATCGGGAGATCTATAAACAGCGTGAGGTTTATTGTCTTTATGTGGCTTGTGATCTCCTAGAGAAGATGCGTATGGAGCAGACGCCGTA